AAATCAATCAATCAATCAATCAATCGCACGGGGGGGAACCCCTCCCCCACCAGTCAATCAATCAATCAATCAATCAATCAATCAACAAAAAATAAATAAATAAAAATCGAATAAAAAAATCAATTAATCAATCAATCAATCACTCAAAGGTGGGGTGGGGCGACCCCGCCCACACCAATCAATCAATCAATCATTTTCGTTGGATTTCGCCCATACCCCCCCCCACCAAAAGTTGATCTTTTTCGTTTATTTTTTTTGTGTGGGGGGGGTGGGGCAGGGGATGCGCCGCCATGTGGCGCCGTCAGTATCTTCAAACCCCCTCCCCTGCGGCCGCCACGTGTTCGCGAATGCGCGCGTCCGCGCGGACACGTCCGCGGGCTTCGCGGCCTAGCCGCGGCCGAGGACTTGGCCACGCCTGTCCGCCGCCGGGGGGGATTCACTGACGGTTCTTGCTCCACGGGAGCTCTTCCATGAAGTCCCCCTAAGAATTTGGGACTCCACAGCCATTTCTACTTACTACTTTTTCCCTCTCGGGTATTTTGCCTGTGTTCACTGAGAGAATCGCCCTACTATCACTGAAAGTGGGACTTCTCCCCTGCTCTCCGCAATCAGGTGCTGAGTCTGGGGATCGTAACTTGAGCTCCATGCGAAGTGGTATCCGTTGGCAAAAACGCCCGAAAAGGTGGTTCAATGCATCAGGCCAGCATTCTCGCCTCCATGGAAAAGGAAAAGCAACCATTTGCAGCTGGTGCAAGGCACTGTTTTCGTGAGAGCCCAGAAAGACCCGGTAGGTGGGGAGCCCGACAAATTCTCACGGGAATAGCGCCGCACTTACCTAGACTTCGGGGAAATTCTCAGAGCAAGTCGGTGGACCCCAACGCATATATTATGAATGATGACAAACCTGCGCGTTGGGCCCCTGGCTCCACTATACAACACTCTAGGACGCTTTTTACGGCATATGACAATCCTGTGCCGTGGTTGCTGCCAGGGGCACAATTGCGGGGACAGCCGGCACAACAACACAGCTTTGCTCATGCAGTGTTTTCGACAGGCGGAAGACAGACAGACAGCAGACAGACAGGAGCAAGGCCGCAAAGAAAACACTGATGTCAAAAACAGATATGAAAAACCTGTCAAAGTCTCAAAGATGAACCCCCCAACACAGAAGGGGGGGGGGGGGGGCAAAAACAAAAGGCACACTTCCTAAGAATAAACATAATCTTCTGAGCTTCGTCTCATCTACGAATGGTGACCTCTCGCAAGCACCTTGGGTAGCTATCGGGGCAACCAAAATCCCCCCACTTGTCCAAGTTCACGTTCAAGAAGACAACGACGAAGAAGAAGAAGAAGAAGAATAGTGAATAATAGAGAAAAATAGTGAGTAGCTACTTAAAGAAGAAGTGAGTAGCTAATTTTGCAAGGTCAACATCCAACAAGAGCATGAGCACAACAGACTACCTCGACGACTTGAAAGCTCAATTCCACACGCCATTTGGCTGGCGTAGCAGCATATCGGCCTCTTCAGGACCATTCTGATCTTGCCCCTTCGCTATACGACAGAACACAAAACACTTGGAAACGGCAGCTCAACATTCACACAAAGCTTAAACCGCTAGTACACGGCCCCAGCCTTGCAGAAAGTTTTTGTCGCCACAAGCAAAACACGGAGGCGCCATGAGGCCAGGGACGTCGTTGAAAAAGAAGAATCGGCCCTCCGAAGTGGTGCGGGTTTCATGCTGACACGCATGGGTCGATGAGTGGTGTACTGGTGCTTTAACGGACTGCGCCACTCGTAAACTCTCAGCACTCCCAGAAAGTCCCGAGGGAACCGGGTATACAAAACAAAACGCAGAACATCCGAAAACTACTCCACTGCAGCTGCCAGAAAGAACCGGCTATACAAAAGACAGAGCATCCGAAAACTACTCCACTACAGCTCCCAGAAAAAGTACCGAGAGAACCGGCTATACAAAACACAGAGCATCCGAAAACTACCCTACTGCACCTCAACGTCCACACACACTTAACGGACTGCACTACTCGTGCACGCTCAACAACATCCCGAGCGGACTGCGCTATTCGTGCCCTCTCCACTCTCAACACCTCCCAGGACATTCCCGAGAAGAGAACCGACCCCGATATGTATATTACTGATTCAGGAAGAACTCCTCACAATACACTGTCCCTCCGAATACGCACATTATCCACTCAGGAAACACTCCTCACACTACACCGTCGCTTCCACTGCAACTTCCACTGCAACTTCTTCCACTGCAACTTCCACTGAAACCTCCACTGAAACTTCCACTCAAACTTCCACTCATACTCAGGAAAACTCCTCACAGCAACAACTTCCACTGAAACCCACTGAAATTTTCACTGAAACTTCCACTGAACACTGAAACTTCCACTGAAACTCAGGAAAACTCCTCACAGCAACTCCTCACAGTACACACTGACGGAATATAACTTAATTGGGTCAAAGTGTCAGATTGTGAATTTGAAAACACTCGACACGGGTTGGTTCAACTCCCGTTATTCGCCTGTTGCATCTGAACTCTGGCGAGCCATTAAAACTCAGGTGACATTCCTCACAATATGCCACTCCTCAGTAAAAAAATTACTAAAAATGGAATTTGCATATAAAGCGACTCAGGGAACACTCCTGTCAATCGGCCATACCTGGTGCTCGATTTCATTATGACGTTTGTTGAACTTTGTTCTCGGGAATAAACAACTTTCCAGTATTACTTTTGTTCTCTCTTGGTTCACAGATTCACACCTCTCCAGCAGCCGGATTGAGACTAGACACTCTCCTTGGGTTCCAAGCAAAGACACAAGCCCCAGTGTCTTCAACAAATTTTGTGCTCAGAAATCCAGGATAGGGTAAACTATGGTCATCCTTCACATCATGTAGTACAGTTGTCAGGAAAATGGTGATCACTCTGTGTACCTACATACCTCGACTCCCCGCTCACTATCCTCCCATTACTCGCTATCCTCCCACAAATAGAGAAATCGAAACTCCTCTGTGAGCTTTGTCTGTCAAAATCACATTTATATACAACGTGCTTCTGGATGGCATCATACACCATATACATTACCGGAACGTGACCCGATCCCGACTCTATCCTCCTAATCCCTAATACCGTACAATGTACAGTGTGCAGTGTACAAACAACTTATGGCGGAAGAAAGGGCAGGAGAGAGCGAGCGAGCGAGAGAGAGAGAGAGAGAGAGAGACGGCATCCCGACTCTATCCTCCAAACACCTAATACCGTGCAGTGTACAGTGTGCAGTGTGCAAACGACTTATGGCGGAAGAAACGGCAGGGGAGAGAGAGAGAGAGAGAGAGAGAGAGAGAGAGAGAGAGAGAGAGAGAGAGAACCTTGAAGTATCGTCCCACGTTGGCGTCCTTGTTCGCAGAAAGACGAACCTGTAAGTGCAAAGCGAGGCTCTGGTATCAAACCCTCTCCTCTCTCTGAGGTTATACACACACAACGGCTTTCCTGCATGTATATGACCGCCTTCCCAATCCCGCCTGAATGCATCTGACAGCCCAACAACTCGTCCACAGAGAAGTGGAAAAAGTCCTACGTGTGAGTACGCCCTGAGATGCCCACGCGACCCAACGTTCGTGCCGTCTGTTTATTGAAATCAAGACGTCAATTCACTCGAAGAACACTCCCTTCTTTAACCGAATAGAACGCACGGTCATTATCACTGCATGTAGACTGACTGTTGGGCCAAGTCCAGCTCTAATGTTGGGATGAGTACGGTAGAAGGCGGCGCACGTAATAGGAGAAATTACTCCGTCTTCCCCAGAACATAACGCATATGTGTTGTATTCGAGTTATCGGGAAAATAAAAACTCCATAACTCGAATAGAACGCATATGCGTTGTGTTCGAATACTCCGGGTGTCCGAATAGAACGCAGATGCGATGTATTCGAATAGAAAACAACATATTCATTGTATATTCGTTTACAACGCATGTGCGTTATGTTCGGCGGAAGACGGTGATGAATTTCAACCCCCTTTCTTTGTCTTGCCTTTCCGGGATCCAGTTCCGCACTCTTTCTCCGACACCCGATTGTCTTTGTCCCCGTGTACGCGAGGATGAGCAGAGACCGAGAGAGCTGGAAGAGGAGTGGGTGAGAGAGAGAACCTTGGGAGGCGGGCAGTCCACCAAGGAGATGGCGTTAGAACGGCCCGTCCGCTTCTCGTGCGATCGACGATACGACCAGCAGAGGCAAGCGGCGGCAGCGATCCCCTTCGGGTCTTGCTCAGCACCGATTGCTTACAATCTTCCAGAGATAAGAATGCTCTTAATTCCAATTCCCGCTCCAGTCTCTTCAGTTTCGACGCCCTTTCACGAACCTTCTGCTCATCAGATAAGCCTGTTCTTTCCACCTCCACGATGTGTGGAGTGGAGTCTCCACTCCCTCTTTTGCCAGCAGTCTGCACCCCTCCTCTTCCTCCTCTTCCTCCTTGCATACCACCCTCTCCGCTGCTTTGTTCTTGACCACCTCCCCCTCCTTTCGAGCTGATTAGCTGCTGCTCTTCCTTTCTCTCTCCTCCTCCTTCTTTGGCCACTTCCTGGCGGCCATCCTCACTACCTCCTCCGGCTGCCTCTCTCCCCCTGTCTACTCTTGCTCGTTTCTTCCTCCTCCTCCCGCATCTCTCTGGCGTTTCTAATCTCCCTCCTTTCTCAGCTGTACCCACTTTACCAGATCGTCTAGGCCTCTTTCCCACTCCATTTCCACAGCCATCAGGTCCTTTCTTCGCCTTCTTCATCATGCTCCTCTCCTCACGGTTCACCTCCTTTCCCACTCCATTTCCACAGCCATCACGTCCTTTCTTCGCCTTCTTCATCATGCTGCTCTCCTCGCGGTTCACCTCCTTTCGCACTCCTTTTCCACACCCATCACGTCCTTTCTTCGCCTTGTTCATCATGCTCCTCTGCCCACTGTTCACCTCCTCCACCACCTCCACCTCCTCCTCCTCCTCCTCCTCCTCGTCGTCGTTCAGATCTGCGCTTTGTCGCTCTTGATTTTCAACGGATCTACGAGCGACAATCTTCGGACTCGGAGGTTCAGCTTCTGTCGTACTCACGACCTCCACGACGACACCATCACCTGAGAAACCACCCCCCTCGGGAACGCCGCCCACATCATGCCGTGTATGATGATACTTAGTCGCAGACTCCTCACCGTTCCTCGCCGCCGTCCTGATACCACTCACGTCGTCTTCCTCGTTCTTCCTCTCGCCCTCCTCCTCGCCCCCCTTCTGCTCTCTCTCTAGAAAATTCTTCTTGGCTGAACTGGCCAGCGCACGGGTCGCATACCGTCCTCTCTTCTTCTTCCCTGCTTCTGCCTCCGTCGTCTCTTCTTCCCCGCTCGTCTCCGGTAAGTTCCCTTCGTCGGGCCCCTCCTCTCTTGAGGCAATCGTGGCCATAGCCTCCACGGCGCATTCGATTCTAGATCCCAACCCACCCACCTCTCCATCATTCTCTCCCTCTTGCACAGTATTAGTCGCATTACCCTTCATGCCCTGCTCGTCCTCCCTCTCCTCCTCGGCCGGTGGCTGCAGCAACTTCCGTCTCGCTACGCGTGACTCAGGTTTCTCTCCCCTTCTCCGTGCCGCATTTCCTTTATTCCCACCCTCCTTATTCTTTGACGATGAACGGATCTTCCCTTCTTCTCCCCTTGTCCGCCAACAGTTCACTTCCTCTCCGCCCTCTTTATTCGTCGTCGAGGAATATCGCAGCGCAGGGACAAGTACTTCTGCTTCGCAGGCCCTTGGTCCTTCTCTTCTTTCTCCTCGATCTCCATCTCCTATTTCTTGGACCACCTCTATTTCCTCCCCTCTCCCATCTCCTTCCTCGCTCCCTCCCTGTGAGTCCTCCACGTCAGTCAAAGAGACCGCACGCGCTACACGTTCTCCCCCTCGTCCAGCGGAACGCCGCGGCAGGTCAACGCCGACAACCGGCGGAACGGCGCGGTCGCAAGACGGCGGCTGATGACCGGGAACAGGATCGGGTTCGAGATCCGGATCGGGACGGCGGATATCATCCGAGTCAGGAGGTTCCAGATTTCCATCTGTGCAAACCCCCCGTGCTGCTGCTGATTGACGTTTCCTCTGCCGCTTCGTTCTGTAGATGACGGTGCGGCCCGCTCTTCTCTTCTTTGTCCTTGTCCTGGGCGGCGGTGGCATTTGAGCCCGCTCCCCCCTCTCTTCCGCGTGTGCATCGCTATTTCTCGTTGAAGACTTCACGTTTTTGGCGGTGCATCGTCGTGAGGCTCTCTCACCATCGTCGCCCGTCCGTGCCAGCCCGCCTACAGAAAGACTCTCTTCGTCTTCTTCAGCTGCTGACCCACTCCTACCCATCTGATGCCCTTCCATCTCTGCATCTTCGTCTACTACGTTCCTCTCTCCCTCTCCTTGGGCCCTTTCCTTTGCTGTCTGTCCATCTCTCGGCCTCGGGTCTCCGGACTTCACCTCCTCCATGCCTATCATCGTCTTCTCTCTTCGCCCCACTTCTCTTCTCCCAGGTCGCCGACCAAGCGGAGCTCTCCGCCGGGCGCACACTTCTTCCTCCTCCCCGCCGCCAACCTCCCCCCCTCCTCTCGCGGTGACCACAACAGCATCATTTCCGTTCTTCGTCAGACTGGCGCCTGCACCTCCCATCCCATCAGCCATCTCCATTTCCTTCCCGATCTCGTCGCCTCTTCGACGAGTTATTCCTCGCCCTCTTCTTCGCCCATCTTCTGTTGCACCCCGAGAATGGCCATCAGGTTGATGTATTCCCGCCAACCGCATCTCACTTGCTCCGCCGCCTGCTTTCCCGCCAACCTCATCTCCCAAAACCCCCTCCACCCCATCCAGTAATCCAGGTCCTTCTCCACCGTCCCCTGGCCCGCCTTGTCTTCCTCCTTTTGCAACAACCACCTCAGTCTCCCTTGTAGAGACGAGATTGGACCCACCATCCTCCCCATCACCAATCACTAGCTGTCGGTCATGAGCGTTCGCCGCGGCACCACACGACGGATCGTCCGATCCTGTTGGCGGCGCAGAGCGCTTGCCCACGTGGCCTGGCGGCGGCGGCGGCGGCGAGTGCTGCTCGATCGGACGTATGATGGGACATCTCCCGTCCTTGTGAGATGTAGCAGCATCAGGTGATCGGAGATCCCGACCGTCCGTTATCTTCAAGTCTCGCGATATAATGTCATCCCCTGTACCCATCTCCAGGTCCTCCATCCAGCTATGCGTTCCAACGAGAGCCGCGTCTATGCCAGCATGCAAGGCCTGTTCTGCCCCCCTCCCGTCGTCGTGAAAAGACGTCGATTCCAGGTCAATGGGGCTCATCCTCCCCGCACAGCAACCCCCCGACCCACTCCACCTCTTTCCCGCGCTCTTCTCCCCCTCCCCTTCGTCGGAGTAATCGTCTTCACACTCCTCACCATTGCTCCGAGCGCCGGTCAGATCTAACACTACGCTTTTACCCCCATTAACGCCCAAATTGCCGGCCCATTGACTGTCAGTCAATCCCACCATCCCCGCTGCCGTTGAGAGGATAGCTTCCGCCGTTTGCCCGCTCGCTTCCGCCGTTTGCCCGCTAGCTTCCGCCGTTTGCCCGCTAGCTTCCGCCGTTTGCCCGCTATACCACCGTTCCGGCATATGGTCGAGGCCTTCTATAGGCGACATACCTTCGGGGAGGGACAAGTCCACCGCAAGTAAGGAGGAAACACCGTCGTCGTCTACAGTGCGCGCCTTCTCCGCCGCCGCCGCCGCCGATGGGGCGTCGTCTCTCGCCTCCGGCGCCATCCCGGGGCCTTTTGAGCCCCACCACACCCATTTTCCTGCCACACACGCTTCCCCGCTCGTGGTCCCAATTCCGCCCTTACACCCATCCGCTGCTTCAACCGATCCCGCCAACACTGATCCCGCCAACTTCTGAGCCTCGTGACGCGGCGGATCGGCCCCGGAAACGCCTCGGTGGTGATCATCTTGCGCACGTGGCAAGCCCTCGTCCTCGGGGGGAATGCTCGTAATGACAGCGCCGCCCATATTCCCCACTCCGACATTTGCGCAATCGCCCTGGAAACGACATGGGCGGCATTCCTGAGCGACATCTAACGAGCTAGAGCGGGCGGCACTTGAACTCTGGACGCGTGCGACGGGATCCTCGCACAGTTTCATTTCCCGATCTAGGGCACGAGGCAAGTCGCGATCCCGGAGTACCCCTCGCATTGACGAGGGGGAGGTGACATTGCTTCCCGCCACCCCTCTCCGGACGGAGATCGACTTCCCTCTCCCAGCGCGGCCATCCCCGCCGCCCGCACCGCACGCGCTCCGACCTTCCGCCGCTCTTTCCCCACTACTCACGCAATAATCATTGCCTCTTTCCACCAAGCCGACATCACGTTTCCTGTCATCATCATCCTCTCCTCCTCTCGTTCTCCCACTATTCTTATTACCCCTACTATCAGTACTAGTATTGTTATCATCATCGTTGCTATCACTAATCCTATTATTATTATTATCAGTATTACAATTCTTATTATCATTATTATTATTGTTATTATTGTTGTTGTTGTCGTTATTATGATTATTATTGATGACTGCTATGCCCGCAGTCGTCGAGCAGTTGGCATCGTCCTCACGCCTTCCAGGACTCTTCGCATCCTTCTCTTCACCAGGCAGCGACGCTGCGGGATCCACGTCATTATCATATAGGTTCTGGTCATCATCATCCCCGTCCTCCTCTTCCATGGTTGCCGCACTTCTCAGTACCGCTGCCGACTCCTGGAACTCCACTCCATCGGCGGCACTTTCCCTCTTCCTGCGCGCTCCTTCCCCCCTCCTCTCTGTCTCTCTCGCTGTTCCTTCTTCATGGTTAGACGCGGTAGCTGCAAGACCCTCCCCATCCTTCCGCCAACAGAGCGGAATCTTCTTTCCGATCTCCCGCGCAGTTCCGCTAGTGTCCGCCATCTTTGCGCCGAGCGCATGATCATCCCCCCCGCCGGCGGCGCAAGGAGGACGCACGGGCGGAAGCAAACGGCCACTCTTCCCCCGTTCGGAAGCGTTTTTACAGGCGGAAATCTTTCTTCCTCCCCTTCCCCTTGCGCCTGACCACAATGTCATACCCAGTAATTCCCGCCAATTAACTGGGAATCCATCCAGAAAACAAGGTAGGACACGTTCAGCAACGACGCCGCCGCCGTTCTCATTGAGGAGACCGCCCGCCATGATGTCCGGCAGGCCGTAGAGTTCAATCCGCGTTCCCGCCGCAGTCAGCAACAGGCGCTTCGTGATCCTTCTGACCACACGATGACTCAAGTAGACAGATCCAGTCAATGAAGGACATCCAGGGCCAGAGAGAAGGAGTCCGCCAACACGAACTCCGGCGGCGCCGCCGCCACCTGGGACCACGTGGCGGCTGCCAATGTCAATAACGCTTTCACCACCTTCCGCCAACCATCCGCTGCCGTTCGGTAACCCGACACCAGCGCCGCCGCCGCCGCCGCCGCCGCCGATTGAGGGATCGAATCCGCAATCGTCACTGTCAGCGCGAGGCGGGGAAACACCAACAAGATACCACTCTGCAACCAGCAGCAGCTGGTTCTCATTCGTCCTTAGCGACTCTCCGCCGCAGGAGTTCACTTCATTCCCACGCCCGACCACCTCCGAGGGACAGCTTTCCGCATAAACCGTCTGGATCTCCTTTGCCTGATCATCGTAAAACTCCTCCTCCTCCTCACCACCACCTCCATCATCAACTTGTGCCTTGGGTAGTATTAAGCCATAGCCGCCGCCATAGCCGCCATCGTTCCCACCGCCCTTCGGTCTAAGTTTTTTGGCTCTCGTAAGATTTGCTGCTGCCTCCTGTATAATTTCAAGCTGCTTCTTCCAGATATATTCCCCATCGACCAAAGCAGAAGAAAGCTCCGACGTAACCTCCTCCGCAGAGGGCAATCTAATCCATTCTCTCCTGGCATTCGTCACGCGCAACTCTGTTCGCCTGTTCTGAACCTCATTGCCATTGTCATTCGACATGTTCTTCCTAAACAGACGGCCTAAAGCGGCGATCAAACTCTAGCTAGCTCCGATCTAGCTCCAACAAGCCTTCTCAGCTGCTGCCATATTTCGATCCTTGTCCCCAGAATTCACCTGATACCCTTTTCGTCCATTCCTCACCTCTTCTTTCTTTGCCACAATGCTGCAAAGCACTGTCCCTCACATTATGCCTGCCTGCCTCTCTCTCTCTCTCTCTCTCTCTCTCTCTCGCTGGCTGCTCGGTCACCCTATGCACCCAGACAAGTAGATCAACACAACAATCGCGTGGTGACATCAATCATCGATCAACCATCGCAACAGAACAGTCGCCATCCTCGCTTTTTTTATTTTTTTCAGAAAGGGCGACAGTCTTGAGATACCTTTCACCTGACCGTACCCAGGTAAAGGGTCTCGCCACACCACTCCCGTGCTTTCGGACCTGGAATGTCGAAAAAAACCGTTTGAGGGCACTCTTCGCCACATTGCACTCTTGAATTCGGACACTCTCGAATGCCGAGGTTGCGCTATTCACTACCCGCAAACCATCTTGCGGAAGTTAGATCCCAAAATGTGACCAGACCAACCGRCCTATCTCAGTTGGTACACCCCTCTACTGTTGAAATGTACACTCGAGTTCGAACTCCCCACCGAGCAGACGAGCAGACGCGTGAAATAGTTCACTTGTTTTTTGGGCTAATTTGCGAAATACCCCTATAAGTTGAGATATATGCCTAAATGCCCCTAAAGGATGTGGGTAGAGCGGAAGGCTCTTTTGGGCCTAATTCCTTGCGTTTCGCCCATGTGCGAATTTGCAATCTGGACGGCGTAGTTGGGGCCTCGGCCTGCACCCTGTTTTACCCGGGCTGCCCTCCATACCGGGTGGGTAACTTTGCGCAATACCAAGGCTCGTCGGCGGGGCAGTTTGCCTCCATGTTCGGCAACTTCATTCATCTTTCCCCCTTGTGTGTGTGTGTGTGTGTGTGTGTGTGTGTGTGTGTGTGTGTGTGAGAGAGAGAGAGAGAGAGAGAGAGAGAGAGTTTTCCATTGAAAGGATGAACAACGCGCTGCCCAACAGATAAGTCTCCACCCCGCTGGCCGCACGCTACTTCCATCGATAGGATGATCTAAATCGAATGAATCTACAACGAGAACATGGAAATATACACTGCCGCACTTGTGTGCGTGTTGTTATATTCGCTACACACACACACACACACACACACACACATATACATACACACACATAGGCAGACACACACAGCGAGGGGGCAAACACACAAAGATCACCTGAGCCACTAGGGGTAAAACGAAAATACATAGTGTTTGGGAAAAGTTGGCGACTACCATGACATTTTGCAAACATGGACAGTACCCAGTATGGGTATTTTGCAAAGATGACAGGTCCAACCGATCGCGAGGGGCATTTCGCAAAACATTTTTAGTGTCAGAGGAATATTTCACTCTACCTACATCTTATAGGGGCATTTTGGCATATATCCCAACTTGTAGGGGTATTTTGCAAATTATCCTTTTTTTTTTTTTTTACAAGAAAACTCAGCTCATTTGATTACGCACACCAAAAGAGAGGCTGGGAAAACCTCAACAAACAACCCGGAAGTTTTTTGGGACCTTGACCCAACATAGGGAATAGTTGTCGGGGTGAGAAATCCAGAGACARAAATGGTTAAATCCAAACCRTTGTCCTGATACCYGCCGACCCTAAAACAAAAGAAAAAACRCCTCAGGCCTGAAAAAAATTCACAAACCAACAAAAACCACCTAAAATGATCTTGCCACACGGCCTGAAACCGGCAACAAACCGGAAGAAGAAATAAAAGTTAAACAACTCTTCACGGCTTGAAAAAACACACAAACCTAAGGGAACCATCCAACCCACGTGGGCCACGAAACCTTTACAAACGGGAGTCAAGCATTCCTTGACCTGTCTCTTATACACATCTAGATGTGTATAAGAGACAGATTCAATGATGATATCTCAAGCCCGTTGATGTGACCAGCGGGCGTAGCTCAATTCGTACGTCCATTATTTTTTTATTTTTTTTTCAAAACATTATTATTATTATTATTATACAAGGCAGGAAACGTGTCGGGTGTTGCTCACATACGTGTAGGCGGCTCCTATTGAAACATAAACCCAAACTCGGATCCACATGCAATCGAATAAATAAACTATTTTAAAAAGAATAAATTAGAAAAAAAGAATAATTTGCAAAATACGCCATAGTTGATATGCCCACCATCGCACTTTTTGTTTTTTGCTCCCCCAAGATTGATATGTCTGAAGTGCCCATTCTTTAATTCTAAGCTTTCACCTGTCTTAATAACCCGCCCATTCTTGGCTTACTACACACAACCCATGAAAGGATGTAATTCTTGTACTGTCATCTTGAGGCCCGATAAATCCCAGACACCACAACCATTGTCAGTCCGTTCAAGTGTTAGGTTTTCAAGGCAACAACATTCAAAATACTTCCTCACCTCCTTTGCATATATCTTTCAGCCACGATCCAGTACAATTATGTTGATTAATCTCAACTCAAAGACACGATTACAAAACTTACCCAACTCCTGAAAAATAATACTATGTGAAGAAACACATTATGCAAGTAAGTGGGGTGTTTGTGCTCTTAACCATCGGGATACAACTTGTCGCAATAATACGCCCGTTGTTTTTGTGTATGTGAATTTAAGGTCAAATTGAACAAACTCCATAACTTCTTGCAAGTTCATGACCCTCCAATAGTCATCCCCGATCGTTCATACATACGTGCTTCTCTTACCTCTCGGGTTCACCCTCACCATCTCTTTGCTCTTGCTTTGATGATAGTCAAATATCGTCCTTCATAGTTCTCCGGTTGATAAGTTTCCTTATTCATTCAAACCTCGGTGCCACAAATAATGATTTTTGGTTAAATTGTCAACCAGAGGGGAGAGTAAACAGCAGATGATTGAGGGTCTTAGCGACGCACGCCCCGTTTTAGTCATCGACTCATAAAAAGTATGACAAATTAGTCGATACTGTGACACATCCTAATTTTTAGGTAGTGCGTACTCTTCCCCAATTGTCCCCTTTCTATCGCACTTGACAAACTTAGTCAAACCTCTGGCCTTTATTTCCCTCCTCCTCATCGTCTCAACCTGCACCTCGAATTTTGACTCCACTACATACCCATAACTCCCCACAAACAGTTTCATTATAGCTTGATTGTAGACATGCGGACAAAGCATCATAGTCTCACCAGGGTTCCTATCTAAGGGTGTAAGAACAAAATTTGTCAGCCTATTTCCTATAGCCTTCACCTCGCGCACATCCAGATACTTAGCATTCAACTCCACTTTCGTGGTCAAACAAACATTCACCTCCTTCATGTTAAAGAAAATCACTTGGACTTTACAATTGACCCAATTCGTCATAGCTTCAGACAATCCTTGCATCAACAACTTACTTGTGCCATGATGAGTATGCTTCGAGTTATTATGCGCATTTTACATCAACGGGTGAATTCCTTTCAAGTTCTACAAACGGAACAACACGTCGCCACGTATCCTTGGATAAGGAGATCCTACATATGTGCAGATCAACATATCAACTTTTGCATACAATTGTTGATTGTGTAGCATATCCGCCACATATGGGTTCTTCACGCAAGCAATCCGGATCATGCTTCCTGTAACATTCCTTATACAGGTAGGAACATTCATGCCCTTCAGTTTGTCACTTAATAGCTTTTTCACCTCCACTAGTCGAATTTTATCACTAAACCTCAATTTTGTCACTAGTCTAACATTATTTTGTCAATCATACCTCCCTTTGATAAGTCGAGTAATAATTCATCGTAGGTAAGCGATAGTCAACTGCTTCTAAAAGTTTAAGGTGCCGCCAAGAAGCCTCACCAATTCCTCAGACTACACTTATAAAGTATTGTAATATGTCTAGGATTTCGTAGCACCGAAACCAGAAATCGCTTATCCAACCATATTGAAAGATGGCAAATGTCCACTTCACATCCTACTTTCAGCGACGACATCCACTCATACAGTTTTCGTTGCTGACCTCTGATCTTCACAATACTGTTCTCAAAAGTTTTTCATATCACTTTTTATCCGCCGCACCATGTGTTACCTTGTCTCAACTATAAGTGAAAACTTTGTACCTTCGTACCTTTTTGCTCTTGATTGACAAGGAGTTGGTAAACATCCGCACACCATTCCTACAATTCCCAACCGTGCTTTGATCAGGTGTATCCCCTCTCGACTCCGTTTGTGTTACAATATGAGTTGCTTCACCCCACTTCCGCTCTTGTTTACCATTTCGCCTTCGTAATCTTTTATGCTTCTTGCTCGAACGTTTTCCGTTGGTATTTAATATCGCGCTCCATCTACGGATAAATAGTTGCTCAAGGTTCGTCAGGCTAGATCTTTGACATACGTCTACAAATAAAAAACACGTACTATTTCGTTCCAAAAACAAGCAAGTAATGATACAAACGGTTTATTTTTTTTTCCCTATTACGAATCGACACGTGTTCACTCCATCTCACGCTCCCACTCATGCCCGTCTGCCCCACATATTGCGCTATACATCTGGGTGACGTCAAGACATAAACACGCACAAAAAGATTCTTATCAATTTGAATAACATGTTTGCTTATACAAATCCACCTAGGAGTTCACACACTTCTTCAACCAACGTATCTGCCCACATAGTGTTGAAGGATTACTTCAAAGCGATATATTACCTCAAACTTATCATACTTCGCACTTGTCCTACGAAGATGAATGCAATAGTTATAAGTATTATAAAGATCATCTACCTTCCAACGCAACCGAGTCTTACTCTTCTCCTCAGCATAATCCAAGCAACGAAACCTAACCACTTCCTTAGTAGTCTCCTCCACTTTCTCACTTGCTACCTCTTCCTCTGACCCGTAAGCCATCCAAGTTTATTTATCTGCGATGACAACGATCGTTTGCATCTTCTTACCCATGTCTTGGACGTCCTCCTCCTT